CATCAACACAGTTTCCGGCGTACTGAAGAGTTGATAATACATAAGTGATGACCCATCTTCCAATATATAACTAGAAAGGCAACACAATAACGAAGTTACTTCCTTTCCCATCTACATGTCCAAGATTTTGACTTCTACTCAGTGGTCAAAGAGATTGGTGTTACAGGATGCTCCAATTTCTGAGAAGCATCATCGGATACGACTTTTTGTTGGTGTTGTTGACGCCACCTCTTCAGTTCAGTCTCAATTGCCACCTTAGATGAATCTGCCAACTCTGCACTCCACAGGGCCGTCTCTGTGGCAGCCTTTGTGTCTTCAATGGCCTTTAGATTAGTTTCCACCTTTCTGTCCACATCATTCTTTCTTGCATAGATTTGTTGAAGCTCTGCCATCGCAGTGGCCTCTTTCTTTTCAACCAAAGCCTCACACTCCTTGGCCTTTGCTCTCATTGCCTCAAACTCTTCATTTGAAATCTTGATCTTACCACTGAATTTTGAGTTCGGAACTTTACTCACTTCAGATAAAATCTTGATCTCCTTAACGGCTCTTTGTTGTGCAGCTTTTGCCTCTCTAGCCTCCACCAGAACTAGCTCAAGTCTTTGCTCTGCTTCTTCAGCCACACCCCGGGACTCTTCAGCTTCTTGCTTCAGCTCTTGAGCTTTTCTCTTCATCTCTTCAGCTTCTTTTCTTGCACCTTCCGTCTCCAACTGTAGCTTCTGAATTTTCTTACTCTGTACATAGAAGATATCTGCTTCTAAGTCCTCCATAATGCTCGGTTCAGGTTTTGCCCCTCCCATTCTCCCTTGCAGTTCATTACTGAGGTTTGCAGCGAGAACTCCCGCTGCATGTTCCTTCTCCTTCACTCCATCTTGTTCACTCCTCACTTGCTTCAATTCTGTTCTGAGGAAAAACACCAGTTTGTTAAGGGAGTTCTTTTCTTCAGCAATGTCCTTCAGTGTCTTTGTGGCTTCTTTAAGCTCTGAAGTTAGAAGCCTCACAGAATCCATCTTGGAAGCATGCAGCTTCTTAATATGTTCTTGAAGAGCCTCAATCTCTGCACTTGTTTCTGCAAATTTGACATCTAGATTTTGCTCGAGTTCTGGATCATTTTCTTTCTTCAAGGACTCCAAATTCTTTTGTACTTCTTCTTTGGCATTTTTGTAATAACTCTTAAGCTGGGCTTCCCTTTCTTCTTGGGATTGTTCAGCGGCGAGTCTCAATTGTTCAATGGATGCTTTCATGGTCGCAATTTCATTTGAGAGTTCACCGATTCTTTCTGAGTTTAACTTTGCCGAACGTTGAGCCTCTCCGACAGCTTGCAACGCTGCCAGCTTTGCCCCCATAACTGCATCAAAATCCTGCCTTATTTTGGTGAGTTCTTGCTTGGAAGAATCTAATTCATTTATAGTGGTGATGTACTCCTTTCTTGCATGGTCTAGTTCTCTTCTCCAGGCTTCATATCCCACGGCTTTTAGAGATAGCGTCTTTTCAAATCGCTTGGTCTGGCTTTTCACGACCTCAGCAGCTTCCATTGCAGATTGCTTGGATTCTCTTACGTAGGCCAGCCTGGTTGTCAAATTCTGAAGAATCTCCTTGGCACTCTCAAGCTCAGAAAGTGCTTTGGCTTTCACGGCTTCAGCATTATCCACATGTTTCTTTATCTTGTCTAGTTCCTTTTGGGCCAAGATAAGCTGCGTCTCCTTTTCAAACACATTCTGCAAATTTTGAACAAAACATGAAAACCATTTCCTACGACAAACATGCAAACGTGTCTCATGCAATGCCATTGTCATCTTATTCTCCCATGATCAGAGACACTTGATCCTGATTGAAGGGTATAAAAGATTAACGTTGGATGCATACCTCGGATGATCTTCTCTTGATAGAAAATCTGTCTCTTGGGATGGCTACCTCACCAAATAAACTAACAGCAGCTTTGACAGATTGGAACGGTGCCCTGGTGTCAATTTCTCCAACCTCTCCCCTCGGAGAATTCAACTTCTTGACGCCAGTCATTTTCTTTGCGCTTTCTACAAGACAGATTGCAATGAGACCGAAATTGTACGAATGAAGGGCATACGGTAAACTCAATAAAAATGATATCTTTTTTTTTTTTCTGATACAAAAACGGGGAAGAATGTGGTTACCTGAGAGAAAGAAAGATGAAGCGATCTGAGTGGATCAGGTAGAAGTCATATAATAATAATAATATTGGAAAGGAAAGGTGTTGGAACTCAAAAGAACCTTGATGAAATCATAGGTTCTCTGAGTCCAACTTTTTCCATTTCAAAAAGTGTGGCCCTTTGAAAACAACATCCGGGATAATGGTTCGTTAAATCTGCTGTATTTAGAATTAGTTTCCCTATTTTAGGTAGACACAGAGAGGTTTCTGGTGGGGCTTACAGTATACACCATTCGAATTACCAACCAAACATACAAAAAGGACCTTTTCCTCTGTAAACATTATGCCATCATGTTTTCTTGGATGTTTTGTTAGTTGGTTATTGCTGCCTCTTTGTCTCACATTCTACGACTGTCATTAACAGTAGTAAATGTTGTACATATTATATGTTATTAACCACTATGAGTTTATATAGTAAAATAAAATGATTTTTTAAATTAACTTGTATAAAGTGATTTGTGAAAATTATTTAGTATAATTTCTTCAAATCATTTTAATATTTTTGGAAATCTTGGTCTGTGAAATTTAGATCCTTCCTGTAAAGGAAAGTTTAGTCGTGTGGGATTGCAAGTTGAAGACGTCAAAGTTTTGTTAGTAGTTTATCTCATTTATAGGAAGGCAAGAGATGCTGGAGTGCTGCTGTGTTTTAGTCGATTTAGTTAAATAGAGGTTTTATTTTCATAAAATTGCCTTCGCTGTTATTTTTTATTTACATTTTGTTGCATTTTAGTTAACAATGAATAGGAATAGGAAGATGATAATACAGTGATCCTATGAATAATGCATAAATTAAGATAAAGGCTTTCTTTTAATTGGAGAATTGGTAAAGAAATATAGTACATGGTTAATTATTAATTAGAAAAATATTTTTCGACACACTTAAATTTTTACATTCATTTGACATTATCCTTTTGTTTTGTTCTTTTTTTAAAAAATACAAAAGTTTACACTTTTATGACTATTTTACCCCTATATTCTGTTTCAATGAATGTAAAAGTGTGTCTTGATACCATTACTCTTATTAATATTCTTATATCATTTCAAAAACATATCTTCTTATCCTAGCTAGATCATTTGTATGAGATTCATATTAATTATCAAGTTTTTATGTCATTGTTTTAGTGTCTGTTTAAATTTTCTTCTCCAAATCACCATTCAAAAATGAAGTTTTAACATCCATTTGATGTATAACTCTTTCTTATTGATATCTTCAATATTTATATTTGTAATGAGCTCTGGAAGCGCCATCTACTTATGTCTGTGTTTTAATTGTTGTTTGTAATCAGTCTAGGATGACGACAATTTCTCAATCAAAAGTTTTGAAACAAACTTATCGGGTAGAAGAATGTTTTTCACTTTGATATCTTCAAGTAGCTTGTGATACTCATTGATTTGAGACTTTATATTTTTATCTTCAATTATCTCCCATCGATAGTAGTTTCCTATGACGACATCTTTAGTAGTGTATTTGAGAATCAAGGAATCCCAAATATAGTTCACTTCCTTATAGGAACCATACACAATGACCAAATCATTAGAAAGTACACCAATTAAAGTATGTCGGTATACCTTGTTCACACGAATCCAATCTTTAACTTTTTGTGAATGTGTAGGAAGACTAGAGTCAAGTTTTAGAGACGAAAATACATTAAGAACTTCATATATATCTAAAAGGGTAGACAAATGTTTCTATCGGTGTCTCAAGTTTGATCTAAAGAAAATCTCAATTTTTAACACATTCAAAAATGATTTCACAAAAATTATCTGCATTCCAGAAACAATATTTTGATTCTCTAAAATTGAATTGTTGATGTGAACCAGGAATCCTTAAAGATTGTTAATATTGTTAATATTTTGATACTAGTCACAATTTTTCAACAATAGTGTTACTTTCCTTCCCTATCCACCCAAAACGTGATGCTATTTAGGAACAGTAATATAGAATCGTGCGTGGTTTCTCTGTTTTTATCTTTATATTTTAAGTAAAATTTTATGTTTATTTTTATTTCATCTTTATATTTTAAATAAAAATTTATTTTCATATTTTTTTCACATATTTAATAAGTATGAAATTTATCTCATCTTATTTCAGTAGATAAAAATATTTATTCATTTATTCTTGTAAATGTTAGTTAAATAATTTTTTATAAAAAATAAAACCACAATGAAACATAATATTATCAATAATTTAACTCAAAAATATATATTTACTTTTTATGTGAAATATTAAGAAAAATATTATAATTAAAAATAATACAAAAGGTCAAATAATTATATTAAAAAAGAAAAATTATCAATTGCACGACATACCTAAGGTTTCATTAGAAGGAAACTAATTGTGAAACATTGCTTCTATTTCTTCTTCTTCTATGATAGGATGTTGGGATATGGTGCAGGAAGTAATAACCTTAAAAGCATTGCTTCTATTTCTTCTTCTTCTACTTTTCAAACATCTTTTACCATCAAAGCAGTGTCGGATCTTAAGAGGGGAAGTAGTATTGGCCCTTCAATCTTGTCGTCGAACCATAGTTTAGGATGCTATTGTTTCATATCCTTTATTCTCATATAAATTGAAGATGGTACCCACGTGAAGAATAGACTTTGTTTAAGTACATTATTTACGTTTAGTTTGAACATATTATTTTATTCCTTCTAAATTATTGGTTAAGTGTCAAACCCAGAATCAGTCAAGTATCAAAATAATTAAATAGAATACATTTACAGAATATGGTATAATGTGTGCTAATTTTTAAAATTATTTAATTAATCAAATTTAAAATTATCTTTTTATTAATATTAACATGATAACTGCAAACAGTTACACTGAAACGAAACCGTTCCTTCCATTGACCAAGCTTATTACATATTTTATCCTTTTCAAGAGAAAATAGGTGTATTGGTGTTGCAAAGTAGTAAGATGCAAGGAGATTGTTGTCATAATAAAGAACGTCCCACAGCAACTGGCCTGCAAAATTGGAGAAACCTTTTAGAAAAAATATTTAGTTAGAACATTTTAAGCTTCAATGAGATAAGGTAGACATCCCCAGAAAAGAATAGGATCTCATAATTTAAGCAGGATTAACTACACTGTAAAGTATCAGAGAACTGAACTATGGCTAACCAAATTGAAAATGCTTACATGAGCTCAAGGACAAGAGCAGATGCTCCTCCTCCCCCATTGCAGATGGCGGCAACACCATACTTCCCTCTCTTCTGTCTCAATACCTGAAATACAAATGAATGGCATAAAATTAAGTTCTCAGTTCTTAATTCTTGTTCTTCTATTCTTATCTTGTTCTGTGGCTTTTAGTTTATTTCAATTCTATCCATAGTTTGTGTTTGTATTCTTCTTTTTATTCGGTCAAGCCGATTAATAATGTGTTATTGTGTTGAATTTCTAATTCTAATTATGCATACAATCAGTGACTCAAGTTTATGAGAAACTAATTCGATGAGGTTCAACTCTTATTTAGCTTTTATGTTTCATGTGCCTAATTATGCATACAATCAATGACTCAAGTTTATGAGGAACTAATTCGATGAGATTTTTAGCTTTCATGTTTCATGTGCCTAAATCTTCCAATGCATATATAACTCTTACTAGATAGATATCAACAAATAAAAAAAAAATTGTGTAGAAACCACACCAGAATTATAAATTGTGACAGATAACAGGTGCATGATTTACAGATATACTAAAACGCCAAGGGTGAAAGAAAATTACAAGTAACCAAGGTCAAAATTTACCCCTAATAATGTGACTAAGATTCGAGCTCCACTGCAACCCAAGGGATGACCCAATGATACAGCTCCACCATGTGCATTAACTTTTTCCTGCATTTGGTAGGAAGTACATGAATTATCTATTATTAAGCCATTGTTCTATGACGGGATGGAGCAAAAGAATGCCGAAGCAGCAAGATGGTCACAAAATGATTTTATTAAACAAAAAGAGCCCAGCATCTGGGACACTTGAACACTCACAGGATTAAGACCAAGAAGCTTCTGATTTGCAAGAGCCACAACCTGCATAGAAGAAGTTGAGGTATCGTTAACATGTTCACTTGAATGAGTAAAATATGTTTCGTATTCCTTACAGAAAAAGCTTCATTTATTTCATAGTAATCTATTTGAGAAGCCTCAAGGCCAGCATTTGATATGGCTTTTGGTATTGCAAGGGCAGGAGCAGTTGTAAATAATTCGGGTGCCTGCAAAAACAGTCATTCTTTAACTCTAAATATGCTCGTATTAATCAAGACCAAAGCAGGTTAACACTAACTTGTTACAGTACCTTAGCTGCATCCCCATATCCTTTTATCTTTGCAATTACGTGCAATCCAAGCTCAAGTGCCTTCTCTCCACTCACCAAAACTAATGCAGCAGCACCATCACTGGAAGAATCAATAAACCAATCCATTATCAACAGACTATGCAGTTTAGAACCTTATGATTACGGCACCAATTTTTTAGCATGACACAGATATCAATTTTGTAGCAATCTTCTTGCAATGAAAAAAGGGGCATGAACATCCCCCTTAGAATTCAGGTATCAAGGAGCACAAGGGAAGGGAGGGACCTTATGCTAGATGCATTGCCAGCAGTCACAGAACCCCCAACCGGTTTAAAGCTCGGTCGAAGCTTCCTTAATTTTGCAGCATCAAACTGACAACATAAACACAAATATTAAGAAAATGTAGGATTCTCCTCTATAATACAAATGAAGCATGCAAATTTCATGTAAGATTTTGGTTTAGAACTTACAAAATGACAAAAAATATTTGAATGTATTAACGTTTAGTATTCAACATTACAAGAATCATGGCAGTAATGGAATGCCAAATGCAGTGGTTGACACTAAGACCAATAAAAAAACAATCTCTGCCTTCAACTAGACAACAAAAGATATTCAAAAGCTCGTGTATACAGATTCAATCTATCTCCTAACCAATTTCTGCAGCTCTATTCAAGCAAAGCAGAAGACAAAAAATGTGATCGAAGAACCATATAAAAATTGTACTCAGTAATTCAGGTCCATTTACTATTCGCATATACCCAGTCCCACTCTCAAAATAACACCTTATACCCAAAAATCTCCCAATATGCACCACTGACCACATGATCCATTTCAATTAGTTAACATATTAGTAAATTAGTCTATTTACCTTTCCCAAACCTTCATCTCTATCAACAAGCGTGGAAGGCTTCCCTCTTCCACTGGAAACCTCAACCTGAATGTACAAAAAGCATTAATTGAAAACCAAATCAACATTTATCAACTGAGTTAGATATAGGCAGGAATCGTTATGACACCGGAACTATCTCCCAAGCAAAATGACCAGCCTTTTGTGCAGATATTCCTCTCTCAAAGCTTTGAATAGCATAAGAGTCCTGGAAAATAACATTCATTGCCAAACAGAACAAAATTACAAATACTTGATTCAACTAAAAGACTGAAAGGATATAACAAATAAAACATTCTTCAGGCTTCAGCACCAAAAAATGTTCAAGAAGGAGCAATAATGTTATGGGAAAAGAAGGTAAATTTTCAAATCAAAATTAGGAAAGATCAGAACTGCAACTATACAAGATTCTTGTTTTCCAAGAACAATTAAAAGGAGGATAAAGGTGGGAAGGAACACGGCCCCCTCCACCACCTTCATAGAACAGATAGGCCACCGGATGATGATTTTAAGTTACAGTAATTGAAGCAGTAGAGGACATTGAAGCCATCAACAAGAATGAAATGCGTTACAAAATTTTGATAGGTTGTTCACCTAAAACATTACCTGCTCATCTCTTGTTATGACATGTTGATCTGCACATAGTTCGGCACAAGCTCCCATTCCAAAGTCATTATAGACATCCCAAAGGCCATCTTTGACCATACCATCTATGATAGTATCGTGTCCATACCGAGATCCTTTCCTGTTTAGACAAACATATGCAGAATATGGAGACACAACATCAATAATTAACCAAAAAAATGTAATGATGGTCCGACTTCATCCAATGTTTAAGCACTTAAAAAACTAAAGTTAGGTTGCATAGACCATTTACTGAAGCTCCACAACATACAAAATTTACTTCAACGTGGCAGCTAGAGTAAAATCATTCTTCCATCATACGAGCGGATGTCATCAGATATCAAAATCAGCATCTTTTAAATGATAACATCAACAATTGATTAAAGAAAAACAAACCTGGCTGCGGCAAGGTACTTAGGTGAATTTGACATGCTTTCCATGCCACCAGCCACAACAATATCGTTGAGACCGAATTGTATGGTCAGTGCTGCAAGCATGGTAGCTGCAATGAAAAAGACGAGATCATGTTTTCACCGTAATCCACATGAAAAAAAAAATCCTATATTGAAGGTGGAATACCCTTCCAAATGAACCAAAAGAACCATACCTTTCATCCCTGATGCACACACCTTGTTAATAGTGGTGCAGACTACAGATGTTGGTATTCCTGCACCTAGTGCAGCCTGTCTTGCAGGAGCCTGCCCTAAATTTGCACTAAGAACATTCCCAAAGAACACCTCTTGCACAAGCGAAGGATCAACATTTGCTCTTTTGAGAGCATCTGCATATTCGTAAATGAACTTAAAACATAACACAGGAGTAGGAGCAAGAATTTGCATATATATTTCCTGAATTCTCCTCCTACTAATTGAAAGTGGTAAGGGTAGTGACTAAGAAATGAAAAAGGGGTAAAGTAAAGGAAAATAGCATAGTGATTTACTCTTAATAACAATTGAGCCTAACTCTGTTGCAGAAAGAGATGATAGGGAGCCAAGCAAACCGCCCATTGGCGTCCGAGCAACGCCAACAATACAAACATCTGTACCAACAAATTCACACAGATGAGCAAAGTTAAACGCATTCTTATCAATTATGTTTCGATCAAAGGTTGTCCATCGTCACACTACAGAATGAATACATAAAATCAGTACACAGAGGACATAAAAAGAAGCGCGAAAATTATGATTTTAAGAGAAGGCGTGAATTGATAAATGATGATTGAAAACAAGCTTCAAAGTTGCAGCTAAAAAAACCTCGGGATTTTACAGAAGTAGACATGGGCAGCGTCCGATACTGTGCAAGAAACAGGAAAGATAGCCTTTTGATCTGAAAAAAGAAATTATATGATATGAAAAATGATGACGCAATTTTATATAACAAATACAAAGAGAAAGAGAGTGAAAGTACGGATCCGAATGAAATACGCAACTCACATAACAGTGACAGAGTGTTGAGAAGCAAGTAAATTAGCAGCATAATCATACACATTTACCACTATTTCATTCATTATACCTATTAAACACTTTTCTTTTCTTTTCTTTCTGATCTCCTCTTATCGCATCCTATATCGCCTAAATCCATAATTTTCTATATGAAGTGTTGATGAACAGAATTTGCATCGATCATTTTCCGACTAACAAACAAGAAATTGGTTTTGCTGGAAAATTTAGGTCCTAACAGAGGGCCCACTTCCCATGCATCCTAATCATAGCCACCTATCTCTATCTATCTACATTTTAGGATTTGGATTAGGGTATGGTGCGCTTCGATTGTTTAAATGATATTAACTTAATATCAATATGCTTACTTAATAATATATTTCAATAAATCAATATTATCTTAAAGTTTTACAATTTTGTACGGTTATCTTTATGAATTTGTGAAATAAATATAATTAATTATTAAAGAAAAATACTTTATTGCATGCATTTCATCATCAATAAAAAAAGTCATTAAATTTCAAATACATCATAAATTTGGATAATTTTAATAAATTATAATTAATATTTTCTAATTTTTGAGTACTTAAAATTCTTACACTTTTTAATTAAATAAGTATCGCTTAGTTTTTTATTAATTGGATTACTCAATTATTATTTTACTTACTTATTCTTATATATTATTATATATAAAGATATGTGAGATGTGAGATTATGTGATAAATAATAATATTACATTTTAATATAAAATAATAAGTAATTTTTATTAAAAACGTGTTAAATAATAAAATCATTATACTCCTTATATTAAGGGACCGATTATATTATTATTGCAAAATTGTCATATTTTTTATTACTAATGGTAACATTATTATTACATAACATATTTTTAATAAAAAGAATAAAACTCAATCATTCACATAATATTATTTTATATTAATCACAAGACGATAAATAATAAAAAGTAATACAAATAATTATCACATTAACAACAATATCACTTTACATTAATTACAAAACATCACACTTATTTTAACATATTTTAACCACAACAAACACGTTATCTCAAAAATTAAATAACACAAATTTAATTAAAAATATAAAATATTTGAAATATTTATTAAATAAAAAACTAATAGAAACTCAAAAAAAATTAAAAAATAATATGAATAATAGATCTTAAGACGTCTATTAGAAATAATACCTTTCTAGAAAGTGTGTGGACTTTGAGAGAAGTTGAATAACAAGCTTTGACAGAGTTAAGAGATGCAATATATTTTACCTCAAATTTTAATTTTCATCATAGGTTAAATTAATGTTTTAAAAGAAAACAATTATTTTAAATGAAACAATTAAAAGACAGTAAATTGTAGTATTAAAATCTAATTTTAATATTCATAGATATTAACGTGACCTAAAGTAATTTTAATAAGATAACACTTAGTTTTTATTTTACGTTAAAATAACATAATTAATGAAATAAATAAGTGAAATGAATTATGAAATATAAAATTAAAAACTGATGGGTGTGTGCATTTGTTCAAATAAATTGGGCTCAATCGGATAGTCCACGTTAGTCACTAAAACCAAGGGGGAGTTGCTCCCTCCACCCCCACATGCTTCTCCCTCCACCTCCCCAATTTTATATAATTCCAATTATCTCATAACCCAATTTTTTATAATTCCAATTATGTCCTAAAGTTAAATTTTTTTACCTTTTTTATTTTAATCCCTCCACCCCCACATGCTCCCACCATCTCTCACTTCTCACTTCCCACTTCCGTAACCTCTTCCTCACTTCCGTAAGGTCTCTCTCACTCTCCAACTTCTCCATTTTTTTCCATTTCTTTCTTCATTTGTTTCTCCATTTCTTCTTTGTTTTTCGTTTTTGTAGAAGATCGCTTGGTGTAGAGCAAGACTGGTGCGGAGGAAACAGGCGTGTGCGGAGGAAACGAGCAGATCTGCGTCCACTCCAGGTTCGTCTTTCACCCCGTGCTTTGTCGAGATTTTACTGTGCAGGAAAGGCTGAAACGGATGTGGGACATTCAAATTGGAAGGTATATTGTGACCATGATGAGCACTGGGGTCATCCTTTCGATCGGATTTCAGATGTCAGGTTGGTCTATATGCAACTTTTCTAGCTGTTAATTTGTTATGCATTGGTTCGAAAAGCAGATGTCAATTTTTCTGAGTTTTGTGAAGGTGGAGACAGTCAAATGGATGCATTGATTTGGTACAGTTGGTTAGGAGGAGTGATCATTGGAACAATGATAGGTGCTAACATGGTGCTGGAGGAACATTGTCGTGCTGGTCCGCGTAATGTTGTCATAACAGGGAGGTATGGTTACTTAATCCCTTTCTTCTGTAAGTGATTACCATAATTATTTTCTATTTAATGAACCTGTGATGTCGTTTTTATATCTATATATATATATATATTAGATATATATATAGAATATATATATATATATATATAATATTAATATTATCATTCAGGAACATATGACTTTGTGAATTGTTTACTTTGTGATATCTAATGACATGTGGTAATGTTTTTATGACGTTGTTTAATTCATCTTGTTAATGGTTTGCGCAGTACAAGGGGATTGGGGAAAGCCTTAGCTCGAGAGTTTCTTCTTTCTGGAGATCGTGTGATTGTTCCCTCTCGAAGGTGGTGTTTCCAACTATGAAAACATTTTACAAGATTGGAATAATATGTTTTGTGGCTTTTGTCTACATTTTACTCACACATGTTGCTTCGACGGATGTCGACTTCCGTCGACGGATGTGGGATATCCGTTGAAGGCCAATCGATATCCCACATCCGTTTCGGCTCTGCTGAATTTTTTTACTTTTTTTAATTGTTTTTAAATTATTATAACTGAAATATTATTTATATATTAGATATATTTATTGTTAAATGTTTTTAAATTTTATTTTGACTTAGATATTATTTGAATATTTATAAATTTTTTATATAATATCAAATTATTAAAGAATTAAAGATACAAAATCATCTATAACAAATTCATATTAACAAAATTATTACGTTTAAAAACTAACCATATATAAATTTAAAATATAAATTTAAATAAGTACTGTAAATAAAATAAACAAAAAAATAAAAAGGAAACTAACCATATATAACATTTAAAATTATAAATTTAAATATAAGTTACGGTAAATAAAATAAACAAATAAAATAAAACGAAACGTAAAGGAAACTGTCTCTGATCCTTCAACGGATGTCAACATCCGTTGAAGGCAAAACGGATGTCGACATCCGTTTCGCCTTCAATGGATGTTGACATCCGTTGAAGGATGTCAATCCGTCCACAGTTCCTTTTACGTTTCGGTTTTATTTTACTGCTCATGCAAAGATTATATGCTTGATATTAAAAAGATTATTGGAAGTATGGGAAAGGTTTAGGGTTTGGGATTATAGGAAGGATTATGACTACGTCACTGGAGAGGAACCACAATAAGGACACTACACCATAAACGCACTGCACCGACTCGCACCGAGAACAGAGGAAGATTGCTTGATAATTCTTTTCACGATCACCAAAAACTTTGCAGAAAATATTTTACTCATACAAGGAACTACGTAGGTTTATCAGTGAAATATGTTATAAATGATAAAATTAAAAACAATAATTTTTAAAATAAATGTTACGAGGGGCAAATAGTAAAAGAAAGGTAGAGGAAGGGGCAAAAAAGTCAAGGGGAGGTGGAGGGAGAAGCATGTGGGGGTGGAGGGAGCAACTCCCAAACCAAGGATGTAAGTTGTCTACTTTATTTTATTGGTCTTATTTATTTGGGTTTGAAAAACAGCCTCAAAATATGATAAAAAAAAAGTTGAAGTTAGACCGAAGAGAATCAAAATATGAAACAATTTATTAAATAAAATTAATCTAAAAAGTCAAGTCTTAAAACATGTAAAAATGTTAATTATAATCTTAAATTTAATATATAACTCTTGAAAAAAAATCTATTAAAATATGATGATATAACATGATAAAAAAATTTAGTAACATTTAAATTTTAGTTGACGTGAATCTTCTACATTTAGAATAAAAAATAATTTTATTATAATAATTAATCTTTTAAATTATAAAAAAATATGAATAAAAGTAACAAAAATGAATTTAACATTTAAATAAAAATTACAAAATGAATATCTTAATGCTGTCAAAGAAAAGATGAAAGAAAAAATATTGCCTATTTGACCCGCAACCGTTAGTATACACGATTAGACCCTTAACCCACTCTGTTCCAAAATAATGTTTGGAATTAAATTCAATAAGTTGGATATATCAAACAGTAAAATTGACAATTATTTAAAATATTAAGTTTAAAAAGGGATTTGAATTCAAATATTAAGTAACACGTGGTCAACTTATGTTACGTGTGAAGTCCTGATTAATTAACGCACCAATCCCACACTCTGATCACCATTAATTGCACCGTGCACGTCAAAACCCACTCACTTTCACTCTGCATGTATCTGCCATGTGTCGTGGCTGGAACGTTTGAAAAACGTTAGTGGAAGACAAGTGGCGTGTGGAGAATGGCGTTCGTTCTGCGTGGGAGGGAAAGAATTTTTCTGAAAAACTCTTCCCATTCTCTGCATGCATTCACCTTCTTCCTCACGAAACTCTGGCCTTTCTTTTTCTCCAGCTTCTCTCCTAAAACTCTTTCATCTTCTCTCTAAGATAACTCACCGTCATCTACTCCGATTCCATTTCAGATACCGTAGAAACATTCCCTGCACCGTGAGCATCGTTCTGAACCGAACAAAACTGAGATCTGAACTGGTAAAGTTCTCGTCTCTGCACATTCGTCCATTTAGTCATGCGAACCAAAATTCTGGTTGCATGCATGGTTAGAGGTCTGAAAACTGTTTATGATTTTGGTGTATTAGATTAAGTGGAAGTTGTGGAGTGATTCTTGGGTAGAAAGCTGTGAGGGAACGAGCGAAAACCCTTGCATTTTGGGAGTTCACTGCTAGACCAGGTAAGGGGAGCTTTAGTAATTTAATTGATACTTGCATGGTGTGTGTGAAAGCATGAAACTGGTACTGGATATATGAACTGTATGATATTTAAATATGCATGAACGAGTGCTGTGTAATGGATGGATATGAATGATATTGTTTGAACTGTATGTTGAGGATGAAACTATGATTTGGAAAATGAATAATTTCTGTATGGTAGAGATGATAATATGAATTCTGTAATGTATGAGATTATGGTGGAGATAAATTATAAGTTATGAATCGTATGAAAACTGTGAAGTTATTGTAGATGAAAAATCTGGAAAATCTCAAAGTCTTTGCTTGGTAATGCACGCTCGTCATCGAACGGTCTTATACCGTTCGGTTCCTTGAAAAATAACTTAGAATAAGAATTCTTTCATTTGGAAGGATCCTGATTAAGAACGAGCGTCCCTGTGTGAAGGGTTAGGTTTGAGCGTTCGACTCAGCCTAGCGTGTCCAACGGTTGAAATAATTGAAGTATATTAGTAACGCTCGGTTTTATATTCCAGCGTTCGTTATAGGTAGCGCTTAGTCTTATACTGAGCGTTCGTCCAAATGAGCGCTCGGTCTTATATCGAGCGTCCGTTCTATTTAGTGCTCGGTCATTTACCTAGCGTTCGTCCTAAGCAGTGTTCGGTTTTATAACTGAACGCTCGTCCTTATCATTGATTCCTGAGCGAACGTAAATAGCGTTCGTCCAAATTATTAATTGACGTTCGGTCATTGACTGGCAGTGTTGTCTTCTGAATTAAATCATACTCTGTTGTTTATCTAAATAATTTTGTAATGTATTTATCCTTTTGATTCAACCTAGAGTCTTTATACTTAAAATTTTTCTAAGTATTATTCAGATCTTTTAGAATCAATTCATTTAACTTATTTAAATACTCATAACGTCCGTTAGAGGACAAGGGTTCGTTTCTTTTGTTCAGAAACGTGTAGTCAATGTACTGTAATACGTTCGTCCTTATTTATTAAAGGATGAACGCTCGTTAATTTATGAAAGTGGAACACAGAATGAAAATGTGAATAAGAGAACTGGTTAATGTGTGCGGATGGTATTTTGAGTGAATTATTGGAAGTGGATTTTGAACGAGCGTTCCAAGGAGGAACGTCTCCATGATTTGAATATGAGAAATTATGTAGTATGACCATGGTAAAGCTGCTGATGGCTGTTCATCCTGATATTCCGTGAGTGCTCGTCCTCATGTAGAGGGGAGTAGGTCATGCGTGGGAATGGCAGGAGGCCCTAGTCCTATTGAGTACTTTGGACTGATAGGGTTAACCTCGGGTGGCAGCTGATGGACGTTTCCAGTTACTACATCACCCGGGTGCAAGAACGCCTGTAGATACATGGATTCATACAGTCCGGACGGTCGTTATTTATGAGAATTTGGATGAGTTATTCTATGCTTTGATATGTTGTTATGTGTATGGTTTTGTTGATTTTATATGTTAGATTTTATATTGGGTGTATGAATTAAATTACCTAAGCTTACCCTTGCAATTCCTTGTGTTGTCTACTGTTGTTGTACGTTCGTCTTGTCAATGCAATGATCATCCGTGTGGATGTGAGCAGACGGAGAGGCGCCACTTGAAGAAATGCTGGAAGAAGAAAATTTGGAAGACGCCAATCTTGTTGAAGTAGAGGTTAAAGCCGAGCCCTAGAGCGCTCGTTCAGTAGTAGCTGTTAGTGTTTTTGGATTGTATTTTGGGGACGTTCGATTATTTAATTTTGTAAAACCGTTCGTCCAGAGCTTGATATTTTGTAGATAGATCCCGAACCCTGTATATCTCGTACGTTCGGCTTCTAATAGCTGTTATGTTTAAGACTGCACTGTTAATTCTGTAAATGTGATTAATTCTAATTAATGGTAATTGCTATTTATTGGGATGTTACATTACGTTATTATGAAACTTTAATTGAGTTTTTGTATTATTCTTTCTAACATTTTTACTCACTAAAGTAAACTTTGATCAACTAAATAATCACTTTCAGATACTTTCATAATTTTTAAACTAATTTAGTTGTGTTAAAAATATTTATTTATGGGATAAACTTCTAAAATTGACATTTTAGTTATAATATTCACTATAATATATTTACATGACCTTTGTGGAGTCAAATAGGTAAAAAAAAAATTTATAATCTTAATAAGTCAAAGAAACATATAATGTATAATAGTTAAATTAGTAAAAAAATAACCACATTCACATTGGTCCAACCATCACATCTCATAATAACAATAATAACTCGTAGAAATTAATAGCTTAGAACAATAATACAAATCAATTGTATGATATAAAAATCATCTGAAATTGAAGTTTATCATTTCTTTCCAACATTTTTACTTCTGTACTTAAATTATTTGAGTTATAAACTTGTTAAATTTACATCTCTATTCCATTAAGTGAAAGAAGTGTTCAACGCTAATATAAGAAGGGTAAAGTAACTAGTTTTCCATCCACTGATCTGTGATCCAATACAAGGGAATGCAAACAATTTCATTTGAATATGTAGTTTCAAAACTAACTGCTAAACTGCAATATTATATATCTATGAATAGAAGGGAATGGAAGCAATTTCATTTGAATAGGAAGAGATAATGAAAAGAATAAGGAAAGATGCAATATACATTAATTTGAGGAAGAGATCAACTTGATAGTCAATTGTAGCTCCCCAGATTCAACCCCACGAAGCCTTAACCAAACATTTTGTACCACTTCACCATTAACACAACTGATACTGCTTTCACGGGCAAGACAATTTTCACTGTCTGGTGTCACCTTCCTCAATGTTGTCTCACCAGAGGCAGATGACACCTTTAAAATATCTCTTAATCTAGATGCAGACATCAATGGTTGAAGATTCAGATAACTACTCCCCATCTTGTCATCAGCCTTCAGAAAATCTTTGTCAAACACTTCCTATGCAAAAACCAGTACTCACACAATATCAGTAACCTCACACAAAAGTTTGAACAAACCACAGATCTAGTGCAAACTATCCTCTCTTACCACGGCCCACTACACTATGAGCTGCAAATCAATAAACCCTTGATTGCCTACTCTTTTACTTTTCTTTTTAGGTCATCTCATGGTTTTTTTTCCCCTTTCAATCTACTGAAAAGTACTGAATTTTCAATCTCAAAAATCTTATTTTGTATTTTTCAAAACTCAAAGTGAATAGTCCACAAAGTAAATATATCAAAAATGCAAAGTGAATGAGGAAACTCACCAAATTCAGAAGTCCGAAAGGTTCAGTCAGAGTGAAACTCAGCTCTTCATTCCAGACAGGATTCAAGGAACAATGGATGACCCTGGTCTTTGCTGTCTGATTCATGATAATGAAACATTTACAATGTTCTAACGTGTAAGACTTTTGATGTGAAAAATAGACACAAGGTAAAATTGAAATGTATATCCAAGTTACCTGATTCCCCAGCTTAACAACAACATAAGGGTCACTGCTCTTGAAATCCCGGATCACTAATCTTTTCCCTTGCACAACAATGACTTTTAGCAACCTCAATTGTTCATCCATTTACTCCTAAAAAAATGACAAATATATATTAATCAATCCCACCACAACAACAAAACCATGCAGTGAACTGAGATTGAGAATTCAGAAAAGCAACAAATTAAACTAAATCAGCATGCCTACCCAACAATAACAAACTTAAACTATACGAAAGAAAGTTTGAGATTTGTTGCTGTTCGTCTCACTCAAATTTAATGCCAGAGGAATGTCCTCGTCCACCCACTGCTGCAAGTAACAATACGAAGCCACAACAATACAAAACGCCAGGTGCCGGTCAAATGTTTTCGTAGGATTGACCGTTGACCAGACTTGATGGTAGTTTGAACAAATGTATGCTCGCCGAATCTGACAGATTTCCTTTTCTTGTTGCTTTTTACCATTCATATTCAGAAATCTTTAATAATCAACAAATTGTGACTATTCTTGTTTCGAAGAGTTTAATTTTCAGACCAGCTATTATAGGAGGTTGGTAAAGCCAAGACATTATGTCTACGAACCGATTTAAGCATCTTACTTCCTATCCATGTTTGACCACATAAATCCAATAATGAAATCCTCTTCACATTCTTTTATAAATTTCCTTCCATTAATTTTGGCCATCGAAACACATTTTATTTTAGAAGAAATGTTAAAATAAGAAATGTTAAATTGAACGTTTCTCAAATCACAACAGGCGAAATAATATCACTTGAAGAGTGTTTCATGATTTTCATTGGTCTCTTCACTTTAAATCTCACGACTTACTCCTCAAAAGCATGCCAAAATTAATCATTATAAAATAAAATAAATCGTACTAAATTAAAAATGTGTTTGATTGTATCTATTACAGGCTTGGGATAATTCACTCAATTCTATTCATTTAAAGATGGTACTCGTCAATTTTGGTGCAACTGGTTTAATATAAATTAAGGAGTGGATGATAAGGTCACTTTTTTTCAATTGTATGTGGCGAAGTACAAATATGTTGAAGTCCTAAAGATACAGATGCAATTATCCCCACGTATAGCTGTACACATTGTTGATTGACCGAGTCAATTATATCAATTGTGTTGGAAGGACGAACGGCACCTAGATAAATGATATTCATGTGCTAATCCTATCCCCTAAACTAATAATTAAAGGTAATTTAGCAGAAACATAGCCCTAAAGAACCCAAAAGTGTCACCATTTTTTCTTTATAAACATGGGGATGACTGCTGTTATTTTTTGCTCTACAGGGTGGCTACAAGAGTTGCTAAGCATATTTATTAATGTTAATAACTAAAGGATCTCCAATTTGGCAGTGCAATCATCATTCAAGCTAACACCTGTACTTGTACAACAGCATCAACTCCGCTGCAATCTTGACAGATAAATCACAACAGTTAAACTGCTCATTGTTCTTTCCCCGAGCTTTTCTTACCCATCCTACGTTTCCATTTACTCTGCATCAATCAATATCAAATTATGAGCTTAGAACAAATACTAAAATAACATGAGTGCTGCAATAGCGGAGTTATTTACCAGAGGCACGTCATCAGAAATCTCTGCTTTTGTGTCATGGCCATCATAAGGACTCTTTGAAGGCTCTTTATGTGATCTCGCCCTTTCTCGAGGACTACTTCCAGCATCGCTATCATCTTCACGCCCTTCAGAATCTAATTCTTCTTCTCCATTAATATTTTCCCTCAAGGCTCCATTTGATTTATCCAATTCTCTCTCTTCGGAACTACCTCGTGGGACACTCTCTCTATCTTCAGAAACCCTCCAACTATAGACCTGCTTCTCTTTCAGTAGCTTCTTTCCTCTGGAACCTGATTTTGTACCTTTGATAGACTTCTCCTTTCTCGTGATTTCCTCAAACCCTCCAGTCAATTCCTCTTCTGAATCACCTTTAAAAGAAATTTCGCTTAAGAAAATGAGGAAAAAAGATGAAGCACAAGTCGTAATCAAGCTAGTTGAATCGGGATACGAAGTATGAATCGTAAAGGCTATTTTTGAAGCGTGAAAAATAAGATTCGTAATCAATAACTAAAAACATAATAAACATTTATAAAAATCTATCGAAACACAATTTGTTGGGCATTTAAGTTAAAGTTGCAGCCCAATTAACTATTTATAATACACAATAAAACATAATAAACACGGGAGTTTTAAAAACTTACATGACACACGTGAGTTTCTAAAAAATTACCCCATACTTTATTCTGGATGACCTAATCCAGAATTAAAGAAACATGTTTGTTAGTATAAAAAAATATATTTATTCTGGATTATTTAATTCGGAATAAGAAAGACATGTTCTAGAATGTGGCAGGGGAGCACTTTTTCCAGAAAGTTCAATCCGTAGCTGTTAATCCCATAACTACCGGTTGCATAATAACTAGAGATTGTTCTATCGAAACACAATTTGTTGCTGCTCTATAGAAAGTCTAATCCGGAAAATAATAAGAAAAAAAAGGACACTTGTTTTTTTCTTCAAATTCAGTTTGAAGGCAGCAAAGACCCATACCCAAAACGCAGCCTTTTTTCCTTATCTTTTCTTTATTCCTAAACCCTAACTAATGTCTTCTATCCCTCAGCCGCTGGCTGGATTCAATGTTTGCAAACTCATCCGAACATCCTTGACAAGGATGGAAGCCTACGACACAGTTCAAACCTACAATGCATAAGGCTATTGCGATTCTTTTCATCGCAGACCTAATCCCGAATTTAAAGGAAAAAAAATGATGTTTCAGAAATTATGGAGCGGTGCACTTTTTCCGGACAGAATGCATTATATCTAGAATACAATTTTGCTTTCTTGAAGCCTATTCTGGAAAGTAATACAAAAAATGTTACAAAAAGGTTAACCCATCCCTACAAGGTCCAGAATTTCCCATAACAAACGCCCCTCTTTCAGAAGCCAGCACCTGGTTAACCCGTCTATACAAGGCTTAGAATTTCCTATAACAAAAAATAAAAACAAGGACACTGATCATTTTTTAAATTATGGGAGTGTGGGAGTGTCACGAAAAAGTATGGGGGTGGATGAAGACAACCACGTTTGAAGGAAAAGACCCATACCTAAGGCCCACACCTGACCCGGTTTTCTTTCCTTATCTTTTGTTTGTTCCTAAAACCTTAATCACTGTCATTTATCCCTTACCTACTAGCTGGATTCAACATTTGCAAACTAATGGAAACACCCTTGACGAGGATGCAAGCCTAGGATGCAGTTCAAACCTACAACGCATAAGCCAGCTGTGATTGCCTGCATCACCAACTTCACAACGTCATTGAAGACTCAACAACATTGTTGTGGCAACGCGATTGTATTTCCAATGAAATCCACACGGCATGTTAGCCCCATTGATCTAGAATTGTGGGATTCACTTGGAGATCATGATTCATGTGATACTTGAGAGCACCATGGTCTTAACACAGTAAGGATACAAAGTCACCCCAGTTGATATATTTTACATATAAAATTCATTTCCAAAGTAAATTTAACGTTCAACTATATAATGTCTTCTAAGATATATTACCTGAGTCCATTTCATTGGCTTTAGGGGCTGTGGTCTCTTTAGGACTTGACATCTCTGAAGTCTCTTTGGCATCCTCATGACGCAAATTACTTTTTGATGCACGGTTTACAGGTTTGCTGGAAGATTGATTACCGTTGGTTCTACAAGGAAAAAGTATACAAGCCAATAAAAAAAATGAAAAAAAAAAAATACAAATATAATAAATAGAACATAAAGCAAAATCACATATGTGCAATAGTGATGCATAACACGACTTTCAATCAAAAAAACACAAATGTGCAATAAGGATCTCTGGTTCCGCCACTCACATTTTTTTTGCTTTTTTACGTGATGAGCCACTTGAACTTTTGTGCTTTTGCCCAGAACTACAAAGTATGAAAGTAATCACATAAATTAGTGCATAAAATGGAGACCACACACTCAATGGGGTACATGCCTACAAGACCGTGTAATAAGCTAGGTAGTATATACAAATTTTAACAATTACCTTAAAGTAGACTACATGTATTCAATTAACTTTTTTATTATCTAAACTTTAAAATTTAATAACCATTTTATGACTATGTATTTAGGAAAATCAACTAAAATAAAAATTAATATGCCAAGCGGATACTTACGCTTCAAGTGAAGAGAGCTTTATCTTCTGGCCAGAAATTAAAGAAAGAAATACATCAGTTATTTAGACTTTTTTAATGGTGACTGATATATTTTACTGGAAATAGAAAATATAGAAATACTTCAAAGAAAGGAAGAGAAGTAAAGGAAAACCAGAGACCTTAGTAGTTTTGCGGCCCTTGTCAATAAGCTCCCAGCGCTCCTTCTCCAATCGGAGTATTTCTACATCTCCATCTTCATATAATATCTTCCGCATGACATGACACAGTAACATTGTTTCATGATTGTAAGTAATAGTTAACAGACAGCGGGGACAAAAACAGTGTACCAAATCCTAAGGGCAAGTTCAGCATCATTCAGCTTACCACATGCTTCCTTTTCAAAGGATCATAGGACTTAATGGTGCCTCCATAAAATCTACAGAAAAGGCACCAACATAAGAACAATTAGAGATTATGTAAAGAAAATGACTAAAATAATAACTTTAGAAGAAAGCACGTGATGAAGAGCCAGAAAAATGTAACATAAATTAACGCAAACAGATTCAGAATGAAGACTAAGAAATATAAGAAACCAGTATCCAGTAGGAGCACCAGAATTTGAAAGGCAATTCATATTCAAAAATGTGCTAAAACAACTTAAAACCTTGGCCCCATTTAGCTAAAATTGTCCACAAATACATTACAGAAGAAAATAAGAATAAAAAACCGAAATAAGTTTCTCCCGTAAGTGAAAATTAACTTAAAGATAAGTTAAAATTCAACTTCTAGAGAAGCTAAATAAAATAAATTCTACAAACTAACTTATGCATGCTCTAGTTGTAACTTACGGAAGAAGACTATTTCATTTTTCCTTCCTATTCTCCTTTCCTGTAAGTGTTCGTAGAGAAGTTAATTCAAATAAAGCTTTGAATATTCTCCATCTGCTTCCTAATGGCCAAAAGTAATTTAACTTTTATTTGGTAACTGGTCCCTATAAAATTTATCATTAGCACTTACTTCTTATCCATAGGCCACCAAACTTTAATTCTGCAACCGTTTAGATCTTCGATATCAATTTCACCTCCCTTTGTTGTGCACTGCATATGGTAAATCAAATCAAATTATCAAACTATGTATTCCAAAATATTTGCATGACCAAAAATTACAAAATAGATAAGGTGGGTAGGGAAAGGGGGTCTGGGGAAACGCATAAAAGATCCACACATGATGATTAAGAAGAAGGGCAGTAATAGAGCTTACCTTAGCCATTCCTGAAATACTTTTTCTTTTCCCTTTTTTAGTGGACCCCATGGAAGACTTGTTAATGTTACTAACAGTCTTATCACTTAGTTGTACACGATCAAGACTCTGTAACAGAGGCAAAGAATAATAAGCAGAAGGGTACAGCATTATTCTATTAGATCACACACCAGCATAAATATACTTGACAATAAGATTGTACCATCATGTCATGCTCATCAGGTTTGTTCAACTCATCATTATGATAACCATCAGAACCTTTAACCTTTTGTTTTAATGAGGATAATAACAAATCTTTTTCACTGCCTTTGACCATTTTTTTCTGGATGGTTTTGCCATCTGCATCAGGGCTAACTTCTTCATCCAGTAAAAGTTTGGGTTGAGGGGATTCTTCTTCTGAAACTCTTCGAGATGTCTTTGATATACTAGTTGATAAAGTCAATTTTCCAGGAGTAGATGAAGACTGTCTACGTTTAGGCACTGGAATAGGTGTTGTTTCTCTAGCTTTTCTTTTTTTACCTGCTGTAGAACCTAGATCCTTCAGGGCCTTCTTACTCAAAGAATGTCCGTGGCCATTACTTGCTTCCACATTAGAAGAGGTCCCTAAGTTATCCCCATTAATTTGTCTAGCCATATTTACAGTGTCAAAATCATTTTCTTCCTTTTTCGTTTCAGCTGAAGGAGACTTCTTCCTTTTCACCTTTTTGCCCCTGGACCCCTGGGATTTTATGTGCTTTAACATCTTTCGCAGAGGTATCTCATTTCCGTCCTTTTCATCATCCTTCGAAGCTTCATTCTCTGCTGATTGGGAATGAACCTGACATAAAATAAATAAAAAAGAAAAAAAAATCATATGGTTCAAGATTTATAAACAATGATAGTTGTCACGTCACTTTCACACTGCATTTCACATACCATATCGAGTTCAAGAGATTCAAAGTGAGCCAAGGCATTTTCATCAGCCAACCAGCTTTTAACTTCAGTTACCTGACAATATTTCAAAGGCATTAATTAGAACTATATTTTTATTAAAAGTATTCCAAGATCTATTATAAATGTTAAAAATAATAATACTTTTATTCAAGGAAAAGACAATTTCGCTATTGGTATTTGCTTTTAAGTTACTCAGTATAGATTTTACTTGTAAAAGAGGTAGTGTCATTAAAGTGTCAATAAATATTCATAAAGAACCTACACAAAAAATGCTAATCACACCTATCAATAACACTGTTTGATTAGTAGGCAATGTCTCTCTGTAACAAAATAACCCAATGTATTCAGCAGAACTCAAGCATCATGCAAACACTATTAATTGAAAACGAAATGTTGAGTTAAAGTACCAAGTCTACAACTTCAGTATATACATTTTCAAATGATTTAATGAAATTAAAAATCGGTATAGGATATGATGCAAGAACTCTGCTGCTACAAAATTGTCTCAGTTAGATGGCACTTTGCACATTATGAACAAGAATAAATAGCATACTGGAAGGAACTACAAAATTTGACCAAAAATAAGGAGCATACCCCAGTGTCATCTCCTTCCTTCTCGGATGCTTTGTATAACATTGGAGGTAGAGAAACCAAATGTGACAATCCTAGCAAATGAACATCCTTCTGCACTAAGCGTTTGGTTATTGCTAAACCAAGGTCACATAATGCATGAGAATTCTGGACATCCATTGATAAAAGATGTAAGAGTACAGTCTCTAGTCACTTTGACTTTAGCAATTTTGAACATATAATGGAAAAGATAATTTAATTTCAACCTTTGACTTTGATGTGTCAACTACATCTTCAGAATGCTTGATACTCAGAAAGATACAAGTGATAGTAGATACAATTTCCTTCTCTTTGTCAGTAGTTACTTCTGACTTGACATCTTCATCTCTTTGCAGTAGCATTGAAAGTATTAAGTGAAACTGCCTGAAAATTTATAACATATAAATTCAGAAACAATGAGCATTTCAACCTATTACATTTTGATGTCTGATAAATTTGTAGGCATAAGCCAGCTGCATTCGTCGTTCATATTTCAAATCAGAATCATAAGCACATACGAAAAATACAAAAAATCTGGCAAACAGTCACAAGTAGGCATCAACTTGTAAGTTTACCACAGTATGTAAAATAATGCAATGCAGTTAGTTTGGTATATGCATAAAGGCAATTCTTCATATCTTTCAAATTTAAGTAAAATATTAACATTTCATACATTAATGTCATAAAATAATTAGAAATAGCACTAACATTTATGAATTACCAAAAAACCAAAGTTCCTCTATCCCTTCTTTTCTAGATCTCTCTTTTGAATCTTTTCAGTTCCATTTTTAGTAAACAACAAAGTTATTAAGAGGAAGACACAAGTGTAAGAGGGTAATAAAAGCACAAGAATGAAAGAAATCAATCACACAAAAGAAGAGAAGAACAAAGAAAGAAATATGCACAGCACATAAATCTCCCGATAGATATGCAAAAGACAAACTCCTAAAAGGACCATTAGCCAAACACCAAAAGGAAGCTAGAAGAACTGCTGCTGTCCAGAGAAGATTATATTATCTCCTTCCACACACTATTAAAAGAGTATTCAAATACTGCATCCAGCAAGCCATGTCTTGTGTGGATAAGAACAAATACCGGTATATATCATCATATGCTCCAAACTCCTTGCACTCATCAACATCGGGACATGAATTGTGAGCAAGTGTATGAACTAGGTATGGAAGAATGTACTCAGGGTAAGTGGCCAAGGAATTTGCATCTGATTGTGAAGAAAGTTGTCTTGCCTTCAACTGGTGGTGCATTTGAATAATGTCAGCCAGGTTCTGTTTATCCTGAATTAACACAAAGAGGTTATAACGGAAACACAAAATTGAAGTTAAAGCAAAGAAAATTTTCAATTTTGAAAAAGACAATGAATCAGCAACTTACCTCTGCAAAGTTGTTTGGTTTGGATCCAAATATGTTCAATAAGAAAGCACATGCATATTTGGCATCCAAAAGGCGGTCTTTGATATATTGGTGAATTTTACTCAATACAATCTTCCTAGCTTGAGGGAAAGTAACCTACAAAACTCAAAAAGAAGACCATGATAAGCAGTTGTTCCCACATTTAATTCAAAATTTTAACAGATTAATAACCCCCTTTAAATATGAACAGAAGTAGCCTTTTTATCTTGATAATAACGCAATGAAAACCAATTAAAACTCTAGAAGAAATTTGGTAAACAGAAGACACAGCCCACCTCGGACACCCTTAAAGTTAAGTGGAAAAGATCAACAGGTATCTTGTGATCCCAAAGTCTTGACAACCGAAGAACAGCTTTAGCAGAAGCTAGCTTCAAATGGGCCTTATCAACTGAACTGCAAGTAAGCATAAATGAGTGCATAGTATTTAAACCCATTGTCTAATTTAAAAATTTATTTAATCTATAAAAAGTATAACTCTGAAGCTGATATATATACCTTGATTTTAGATCCTTTGATACTTCCCCATATAGTAAAATATTCCTGAGTATATCCAGAATCCTGTCAATATCTGGACGAACATGAGCATCTTTGACTGGCAAGTAGCTCTTTACAAATGTTTTAATGCCATATATCTCCAGTCAAGAAAGAAAAACAAGAAAGAACAGTGAGAAATAGAGAGAACAAGATGTCAAAAATGAAGCCAGCTTATAAGCATATTCTTATGTATCAAATCACAGAACAAAAATAATAACCTAAAGTATCTTAAACAGAGTTGACAGTTCATCATACTAACCTTCAGCTTACAAAGATCGCTTTCACCATCCCAAGATGTTTTCCGGTTATCTTCTTGCTGAAACAGAAAAACACATTTAGATGAAAATCAACAATCATGTTTATTTCATAAACAAGCACACCGTTATAAAGAGATTTGAAACACTTACACTGTCACTTTTCAGAATCTTGTTTGTTATAAATTCTTCAATTTCCTTCTCTCTGGTTACATAGACAGGCATTGCTGTCTGCGCAATACACCCCAGAGACTGAAGTATTGCAGGCAGATGTGTTTTATCTTCCAGCATATCTACAAGTTTCTGCACATAAGGCAACCAGAAGAATCAGAATGAAGGTAACAAAATGCAGAAGGCTTCTATAGAATTGTCTTTGTTCTGAATGTAATGTGTGTCTAATGCCGACCACACAAGATGTATTTATACTATTTTACAAAATCAATTATAATAAAAACACCTAATAATTAAGAATCAATCATCCTAATTTCCTAGATTATGTAACATTTAATTTCCTACAAATTTGTAACAACTGATTACATTTTAACACACTCCCTCAAACTAGAGCATATATGTCATATGAACCAAGAGACTTGGTGAATATATCAGCCAGTTGATTGTTATAGTTGAGAAAATCAATAGTGTAGATGTATCATCCTAATTTCCTAGATTATGTAATGGTTAATTTCCTACACATCTGTAACAGCTTATTACATTCTAACAGCTTCCATCTTGTGGGTTTGGATAGGGTAGATGTATCAGTCTTATCACTGAAAGCAGAGAGGATGTCTCCAATATTTGTAGTTGAGACCTCCAGTCCACTAGGCACCAACATTACCGTCATGCCAAGGCTCACCTCTAACGAAAATCAGGGTAATAAAATGAATAAACCAAATGAAACCTTGTATAGAACAGAGAGAGACTTGAGGCCATCATCCTTTGTAATTGCAGCCAGTGCATGGACAGCATACTTTGCCTGCCTCCGACTGCCTTCTAAACATAGTCTCTCCAATATAAGGTCTACAGAACTGCATAGAACAAGGAGATGGTAAGAAAACTATGCAAGGAAATGCATTTAAAATGAAAACAGTGACAATAGTCGTACGTTGATGTGACTGCAAGTTGTTCACGAATAGTACCACCAGCCTTAGCTACAACATTTAGAACACCTTCCTTGATTGTATCATCATTATCTTTCAGTAAATTCACCAGCTCCTCCTCACTTCCACGAAGGAGCAATGGACTGAAGCGAGCAATTATCTGCAATTTGAAGTATACCAGGAAGTTAAAAAGATTGCTCTAGTAATTCTTAATTATCATGTCCAAAGTGACTCAGGCCATACAGCTGCTTCGTAGCAGAGTTAAACACCATTAAACTACTGCATATGATATTCAAAAATGAAAACCATCGTAACTCACGTGACACTTATGAAAACCATTTTCGGGCTCTCTTTTATCAGCTCAAACAATTTGGATGAATTGACTGATTGAATCATACTAATGCCTCTCCAAGGCCAAAAGTTCAATTCATAACACCTCCACTGAAGATGCAGATTTGAGTTTTTTCCACTTGAAAATTTTTCACAATTCCTCGGCATTCCAAAACAACTTAAGCTCGTAGAATAAGTTGGCACTTATCAGACACAATATCTTAGCTCACTAATTAGAATCAAACAGCATCCAGCAAAGACATAAATTTTCACTTTGCTTTGCAGTCATTACAAGCAAAAGCTGTGAAGTATTTGCTTATAATTCATAGACAAATGTTAAATGTTAAATAACAGTGCAAAGAACAATTCTTACCACCAATATATTCATACAAGATTGTGTATGCTGAGCATTTTGTGCAGATTTTTGAGCTGTTGTTTCTAGGAGAATTGTTTTTACATGCTCCTTGTTAAAAAGCAAATAAGAGCATTTCACAGAGAAGGTATTAAAAAACTCATAGAGACGATGTTTTTCTCCAAGTATTTTAAGCAAATCATCCTGCAAACAAAAAAAAAATCAGTAAAGAACAAACTACAAGCTACAGCTTCTTTCTTTCTTCCAGGAAAATAAAAATAAGACAATGTTTGTCAGAAGTATCAGAATGAGATTATATTTTAAATGTTGAAACTTGTAATATTGCTCCGCATCATAGACCCCCTAAAAGTAAATATCTGTTTGGAATTATGGCACTGAATGTATGCAGTTTGCTGTTGTTAGCACATATAAGAAATGTTCATAATGGCTTAAGGAGGAAAAGACACATAGATGGACAAATGACATATAAACATCAACTTCTGAATCTCGTTAAACTGTTTTGTGTTTGAGTGTAGTTTAGTAGATGCCAAAAGAGAAATTATATTGATTGTGCAGAAGATTAGACTGAATAGAGTATGCATTACAAAATAAGGTTAGCACGAGATTAATATGCTGACAAGGGCTAGTAAACTAGTACCCACAGGAAGAGTAAATGAACAATTAATCAGATTCATAGCCAAAAAAATAAAAAACACGTGAAGAGTATAGTCTATTGGAAGTACAATCTATGGTAGCAACTAATGACAGGGGCAGAAAAAATCAGACATGTACATCGAGAAAATTGTGACCTGAATTCAGGGGGAGTAGGTAAGTGATATATATCACAGGAATTGAGCACCAAGTTCTAAGATTTTCGTTCTCATTTTTGAAGACTAATGTACACACAATTCGAAACCACGGTTTCCCAAATAAATACAACCCACATATCTACAGCTATTGGTTATGTTACCCGGTAGGCACGAGCTTGATGGAGGCTAGTATTTGGATCAACGAGATTTGTCAAAATCTTCCAGATGTTAGCATCTTTTAATTGATCCAGAATCAGGAAACTCTCTTCAGCTTTTACAGGGTCAGCAAACGAACGGGACATTACTCTGAAACAGAAAAGAATCTTCTTTTGCAGCTCGGGAATATCTTTATCCTGCATTTAAATGAGAATCAATTCCTTTTCCTTGCAAGATTTCGTTTGATAATATCATTCCAATCTCCAATATCAAATACCTGACTCATCTGCCTCAAAGACAGATACTTCTGCATCTCTTGCTGTAACCTGTACCAAACAGGTATAGTTAAAAGGGAAAACTTTTATTGCTCACTGATGTTGAGACACCAGAGTTTTATAAGCCATCTGCTCATCACAGAAATAAATCAAGCTTACCTTTGTTTCTGCTCCAGTATTTTTTCAAGAGCTTTTACCTCCACTCTATCAAATCCAGAGAAAACTCCAATCCAATGTTTAGCAATAACACTGACTGAAAATTCTACAGGAAACAGTGATCCACACAGAACAGATTCAATTATATCAGATCTGCAAAAGAATATGAAAAAGAGAAACATCCGTGATTAGAACTCTAACACTACAAAAAACACAAAGAAAACTGATTTTGCACTTGAAAAAGTTTGCAGATACGTGAACAAGTTATGCTGTGGAGTATTGACAAAAAAAAAAACAACACAACAAACTACAACGAGGAAATCACTGTGCTTATGTAACACTAAAACAGATGGCCTAAGATACTTGTGCCCTCCTAGTAGAATGGCACAGATTTTAAGAATCACAAGATATTTTTTCTTGAAAGGCATAAACTTTTTAATGACATTATACAAAAGTAAATAAAACAAAGTCCATATTAAAATTAATATGAAAATACAGAATATATACTAAAGATTCATTTTAATCCACTGTTCTGCAAGTTTATCCACACTATCCAATCGTGCATAGCCAAACCATTATAGAAATTTGATTTTCATAAATCACTACTACAAAAACAAATGGGGGTCATACTCTTGTAACGATTGACCAATTTTTACACTCATAGTTGATTGAATTTAAAACTCAAATATAGACTAATTTAATATGACAAAACTTGAGGTTTATGCCTTATTAAATATACTTTTTGTTTGTACATTTGAGATTCAAGCTCAAATTTATGGATGACGGAAGTATTCTAAATAAATAATATCAAATGGATGACCAGTATGACATATAAAGGTTAAAATAAATATATTTTTCATCCCAAACAAGACTCTAATTTTTAAATTGGTCTGTGTATCACAAACTTTTCAACTTAGCCCTTAGATGTACAGTCATTTTCAATTTGTTTCCATAATCTGATGTTGCTATAAAATTGTGAGATTCGCATGAAGAAACTGACGATTACATACCTAATTGAAAAGTATTTTATGTATAGAGACTGAATTATGGATTCCAATGTATATATATGACAATCCTTTTCAATTTCTTGCATATAATCCTAGGTGACTAGGATGGGAGAGTGAATCCGATCTCCCACTGTGGGAAGGTAATTGACATCCCTTAGATCTATTAAATATATTATTAACAGCTAATATTTTTATCATTTTTCTCTTTTTCCTTTTCCCTTTCTACCTCTCTCTCTTCCCTAGTTTCTCTTCCCTGTATTCTTTGTTACCACCACAGTAGTTGTATGCTGTCGCACTCCCTCCATCTCCTTCCTCCAGTGAAGCCTCTGGGAATCATCACTGCTCACTGACTCCACCAAACACCTCAACTTCGCATTGTCAGACATTTCACCTCCACATGATGCTTCCAACCAGTGTGAACCCACCGGCCTCACCATGAACCCATCATGTTTCAGAAAGGTCTTAAACTTCAGTAGCAACTTCACGAGCCTGACTATTTCCATGTCCAAAGTATCATTGATCATGAAGGCCAACAGATCAGTGACAGGATTAGTCTGAGCATACCCTCCTCCAACATGAGTGCATTAACTTGAATCCTGCTCACATGAGTTAATTCTGAGGACACCTTCCTTTACCATTCTCACTTTCATTATCTAGATTAACCATTTCCTAAGCACTAGCAATTTCAAATCAAACTGCTAACCCCCAAGTCCAAGCTTTAATTTGCACACAAATTGCACTAATTTATCTTTCTCTTCATAAATAAATCCCTTGGACGAAGTTTATTTTAATTAATGATGACATGGGTTCATTTTAATTTAATGAATACATTTATATGGAGGATGCCAAGGGGAATCAGGTTTATCTTGGCAGCACAGTTTCCATTCTTCTTAATTTTTAGAAACACAAACACAAGAACGTCCACAACAAAAATAGCTTCCTTTTTGGTTTCATGTTCTAAGATAGAAAAAGAAAGAGGAGGGAGCAGTTAAGGAGTGGACCAATGGTTTGTTGAAGGCATCAATGCAACATTGAAGCTGCCAAGCACAGCAGCTATAGGAAGCATCTATGTCCAATCAAGCATAAACAAGTGGGAATGGTACGAGTTACAGGACCAGGAAAGAGATAGCAGGAGTAAGGACAAAGGAAATAGAGTGAAAAAAAGACCTCAGCAGTTAAAAAAAAATTAATAAATATAACAGATGTAAATTACTCTCTAGGGTGAGAGACATATTTGGCTCTCCCACCATTCACCACAATCATATTGCAACTCCAACAAACAGTATTTACAACATACAGTGACGACCTAATTGAAAACAATTCAATGTTGCGGGCTAAATTTAAAAAGAAACATATAAGAACCAGTTTGAGATTGAGTGATGTATAAGGGCCTAAAATATATTTCAAACATATATCTGACCTTAAAATATAGATATTTGCGGTTGATGATTATTCAAAATGTTATCTATATTCTCTGCTTACTCAAAATAAAAATGTACTTACGTAGAAAAGATGGATTGATAAATAATACTAACATAGACATTTCGTATTGTCTAATAATTGATGGGTACTCATCTTAAGTGACTACTCAATATTCTACTAGAACTAGAGTCTGAGGTAATCAAACCTTGGTACATAGCCTTAGTTGGATTAAATAAATATTTTATTTTATTTAATATAAATAACTCATTGTAATAAAAAAAAAAATAGTACAAATCAATTTGCTAAACAAAGCGTTTCCATTTGGCTTCTAAAATAAAGTTTCAAGAAAAGGGGCCAGTCATTACTTTATTGTTAACACAAAAAACTGTACTAAAAAATAAGACAATGATGATGATGGATGGCAGTCCAAATAAGTGGAAAGGCGGTAAAGAATATAGCACAGGTATTTCACCTGAAATCTTTGTCATAGAAACATCTAAGAATCTTCCCAGGAATCCAGTTGTATTCATTAGGATTGACAGTATCACTGCTCTTTTCACAAACAACTCTATACACTTCAGCCAATCTTTCCATTGTATACTTTTTAACAAGTATCTGCAAATGCAAAGGTAAATGATGAATTGGATACTGTAGTTAAAATAATCAAACAGTTACTTGTTAAAATGTAGAAACCAAAAAACAAACATTTAAGAGTATACATACAGATTTATCACGGAGCCGTTCTGAAACAAGTTTCACAGTTTCAAGTGGAACAGCATTTAGGGCATGACATGCCACATCGCAGATAACAGCCACAACTTGTTTTCGAACATTTTCATCAAAGTCCAGCAGCCGTTCACAAAGGGCAGCTAAGATTGATTCAATTAAAATCAGCAGATATGGAACAACAATAAAAGGAAACAAAGAAAAGACTGAACGTATGAACATGTATTTAATTCACTCACATATTATTTGAGGAGCTTCAGCTCTGAAAGGATTCAACACCAGACATTTCTTTACATGCTCAAGGACAGACATGCGGACATCAACAACTCTATCAGTCAACCTCTTCAAAAATTCTGAAAATATGGGCTGAAATGCTTCAGAAATGGAAGATCCAGGAACAGAAATTATATCGCCAACCAAGTTCATAGCTTTCAAACGGGTTTCCAGCTGGTCAGACTACAAATTCCAAATTACAAGTGAGAACCCAGACAATTTTGCTAAAGCCGTTGACAAAATACATGAGAAATAAAAATAACTGTAACTTTAATAGTACAAATTCATACTTTGCAAAACCCAGAACCTCACAACATATAACGCATAAATTAAACCCAAAAATTTTGTTTATCATATCAACAAGGCTACTATATCGGAAATAAATGGCACTGTTCAAAAAGACATGGGCAGTCAATTTTAGCATCCAGTCCCCAACTAGGAAGGACTACGGACACTGCTGCTATAACGACATCATGTCATAATATGGCTGGTAGCAGCAATAAGCCACAGTGTCTAATTTTCACAAAGCGGCTGTCACACCCGCTTTCACATGCAATGCGAAATCACATGCAATGCTGTTGAAGATCAAAAAATTGCAGATCATATGAGCTTTTAAGGACTCCTATATGCCAAAGCAGATCTGTAAAAGTAAATTCAGATAATCAAAGTAAATCACTGATCTTCAATAGATCGTGGGATCAGCAATCTTTTGCAATTAAATTTGGCTCATGCAAATGTGCTTTACGAGTAGCCTTCTGTGCCATGATTTTACAAAGTACCCCTTATTTTATAATTCCCTCATTCATGCCCTACCTTGGTGGTCTCACCCTCGCCACACTCTCAAATCTCACCCAACCCCAGACCCCTTGTTCTTACACTCTACTGTCTGCCTTGTGTTTGCAAAGTCTGACTTTGGGAATCTCTCTACTCTTCACCATCTCTTTGCTCATTCAGAATTATGTCTTCCATCGGCCTTGTGGGCTTATTTCAGCAATCTTAAACTGCGTTCTAGTCTCTGGCCATCTGCTCCCACCCCCTCCTGTCCCTGTTCCTTATTACTACTCTCTGCCTTCTTTTTGCAAATACTGACATTGGTGATCTCTCTCTGGCTTCTCTTTGCACATTCTGAATTCTGACTTTGGCCATCTGCACCTCTGCCTTGTGAGCTGAGTTCAGCAATCTGTGACTGCATTCTGGTCCCTGGCCATCCGCATCTATGCCTTGTTTACTGATTTTGGCCTTCTGTAACTGAATTCTGATCTCTTCCTTGGTTCTGATTTCAGCCGATTGCATCTCTTCCTCATGTTTTTATTTCAACTATAGAGGTTATTACATCTCTATCACTCTGTTCTCTGTTTTATGTACTTATGATTTATTGGTGATGTGTACGAAATTTCAATTTAAGTGTAGCTAAATTTTGTGATTCATAAGTTATTAATGTTGTGTGTTGTTTTATGTATATATGTAATGTATATTCAAGTATAATTTTGTATTTCCAATGATAACAAATCCATGTTAGAAATACCAACCCCACCTCCAATTTTCCAACTCCCTCTTGATCTTAGGTAGGACATCAATTTTTACAACATTGACTCGACAGCTGTCACACCATTACTCGTGACATGGGGGCAAAAAAACCCTTTGCCCTTGATCGCAGGCTGTCTATCAAACTTTTACGGATAATGTCAAAATTGATCTCCCTTTTATCATTAGACAGTGTGCAACCCTTCCAAAGAAGCTAAATCACACACTTCTCACACATATCTCTCCTCTCTTTACAGTGGGTGCATTTCCAACCAACTCACAACTAAAGTACTCCAGCTCACTATTCTGTTTATGTCCTTGGTTCCGTTCTACTCACATGAGAAAGGAGTTTTTTACTATGTTATTTTTATTCTTTTATATTAATTGACTCTGGTTACTTATTTCTATTTCTATGATAGGTCTAAAACTAGGAGTTTTACTTATCAATGATGAATGACTTTATTTTTAGATAATTTTTTATTTGAACATTATTATTAATGATCTAATTTACATCTATAAATTTCACAATGATGGTCATTCTGCTATGGTAATAAGTTAATTAATTAGGCTGTTATAGAGAGACAGCAAAGAAGAGGAAGGCAGCTAGTTGGTTATCGTGTTGGGGGGAGAAACTAGGCTCTAAGATCCTCATAATTTTCAGCCAAAAGTTTACTTTGTACTTTGGATTTCCGTTGAAGAAGGAGTCTGTTGAATAAAAATCTTATTGTCTCTTGTTAATCCCAATTCTTTGAACCAGATTCTATCACTTTAACATCAGCCAGGAAAGAAAACTAAATTACTATTTACCAGTAGCTCTCCAGTCACATAGGGGAGTACTCCAGACAAGATCTGAGGAGCACGGCAATATAGATCATAGATAACTCCATGGTATTCCACTTGATTGTTCAGCGGCTTACTATCTCCAGACATTAATGATAGCAAAAATTGTTTAATGCTGGGTTCAAGTTTTCCAACACATTGCTGTATGACATTGATAGCAAGCCTCCTTGCAGCCATATTAACAGCCTGGAATTATATATTGAAATCATCAAGGTTTTTAATAATATTAGAGCAATACGAGAATCAACTATCTTCCTTTAACAGTAAATTGGTTTATGAAAGAAATACTTACTTTTTTTTCATGGCCTAATTTAGACAGCAGAATAGATAAAAGATCTTCACGCACATCCTCACTCTCTTCTAAGAGAACCACCATTATAGTTTGCATGGAAGACATAACACTTTCCGGATGATCATCTCTAAGCATAAAAAAAATATACATATAAGCACTGTTAATAATACTAAGACGAATAAACAAAGAAAAACTGACATACAATAAAATGGCTAAGTCATGTAAAGTTTCAACAACAACAACAACAATCTGCCTTGTCCAACTAGGTAGACTGTTTATATAGCAGGACATCACTTCCGTATCCAAAGATTCAAATTCCAAGGACACAAAAAGATGTATGATTTGTCGAATTATCTTTACTCCATTTATCATTATTTTATGATTGGCAAAGAGAAAAAATGATCCAGTAAAAAATCAAATACTACTAATTATCTATTATGTAATATCGGAAGTGAATTGCAGAAACTTGCAGGAGTAAATCTGCATTTGTTGCCCTTAAATTGGCCCAGATCTCATCATTCAATAAAGACTTTATGATAAACAAACCTGGCAACTGCAAAGAAAATACTGAACATTTCATTCACCAGATCATTGCATTCAAGATCCAACATCACAACACATGATCTATATTTGGCGAGCGTCTCCAATATAACAACTCTCCGGCCAAAGGATGCACCATTGGTATCACTTAGACCTCTAAAAGTGCCCACAAACAAGTGGAAAATATCCTGCAAGGAGGTTCAACAAAGATCAGGAAAAATAATCGTTGCTAATTGTGTTCCCAACTTTTTTGTGGCTGAAACAGAAAACAAAATCATTTTGAGCAGTAAAATAGAAGACAAATAATAATTAGACAATCTAAGTAGATGAAAGGAACCTTCAGAATGTCATCACTGTAGGGAGCTTCAGGTGCAGTGATCCGAGTTATCTCACAAACACATGTTGCAACTAGAAGCTTGACATCCCTATCTTGGTGCTTCAGCAGTTCTGGCTTAACAATTGCATTAAAAAAAGGCTTCATTGACTCCAATGTTGATGCCGAAGGTGACTGGTCCAACTCAGCAAGACATGGGGTTGCTTGCTGCATATGGAACAAATATTGAGGGCCGAGGGGGATTACCAATTACCAAAACCAAAGGCCCGATAGCTTTATAACGAACTACTTTTTAAGACTACATCCATATGAGCAATTTAACAGTCCAGTCCATCATTAACAAATCACAGTCTGATATACGTCCTCTCTTCGCATTTTTATTCTATTAAAAGACTTTGTAGTTGATCTAATAATCGAACTCGAGTGACTTCAGTCTCAAATGCAAATAAACATGAATGTTGCAAAATATAAAGACAGAATTGTAAATGACAATTTAACTTTTATCAGTATCATCACTATCAAAAACATAAGGCAACTTGTTAAGAATAAACTGCAACACGAGACAAGCAAACGCCCTGGTTAACAACTTCTCATATGTTTGCACACGAATTCAAAAGTTACCCTAACTCGAAAGATTCTCATCCAAATCATCATAAATATCTCCAACCTCAAGCGTATTAAATCTACAAATTGTTCTTCTCAATTAAAGAACGCATTAAAGAAGTAAATTCGGCGGAAGCAAAGCCCACCAAATTGAAGGCGGCGAAGCTAAAACCAATCCTGTCTTCCTAAAAACAGAAATCGCCTATTAAGAAAAATCGTGAGTGTGGTTTCCTATTATTTTCAAACAGAAAGCAACGGATATAAAGAAGAGTTAAGAGAGGAGAAAGTCCTGAATTGGAAAAGGCAAAATTAAATAAGGAGGTTTTGAGAGGTGGCGAAGAGGGAGAATTGGGGAATTGAAAGGAAAAATGCAAACCTTCAAGAGCTTGACGATAGCGTCTTTGGAGGAAGGAAGAGTCTCGAGCTTGGATCCCAGCTCCTTGAGTTGCAGGTGAGGCTTCTGAGCCATAATTCCTCTCTTGACTAAACGCTGTCGTTTCAGTGCTCTTTCATGGACTTGGAGGGAAGAGGGGAGAAGAGAAAAGAAAGAGAAAAGAAAGAGGGTTTTCCTTTTGGTTTTCGTTTTGGTTTTGGCTCCGATGTTTATGTTTTGTTCTGTCCACGCGCCATTCACTCGCCTTCTCATTTTCGAACACCCAACTCAACTTTTTTATTTTCACATGCAGTAATTTTAATTAATTAATTTAACACGGTCGTTTTTTTCTCTAAATAATAAATATATCTTTTTAGTTGGCGTCAATCGTTTTAGGATATTTTCGGATCTTTCCTTTATTGTTTTACTCTTTTAACCTTTTCTTTCACTCGCACTCGCGTACACACTTTCATGCAGCCAGAGAGCAATTACTAAACATAAATTGTCATTTTCTAGGTAAAAAATGCTTTAAATATCACATTATTTTTTGTGCCAGCCTTTCAAAGAAATAGATAGAATATTTATACAGAATAAATTAACTTAATTAACATAAATCAAGAATATTTATATAGAATAAATTAAACATGTATCATAACACGGTATCACATATGGACACTTGTTATCAAATTGTCTTCTAAATTATAAATGGATACAAAATTTAAATAAAATTACTATCTATAATAAATTATAATTTAATTCCAAAGTTTTGAACTATTTTTAATAGTTATGTATTTATTTATTTATTTCTATTTATACGAACATTAACCATTAGACTATCAATAAAAAAAATTATATGAATTTAATGTGTGAAATCTATTTCATCCCATCTCACTTTGGTTTATATTTTTTGTGGTTTGCTTTGGCTGTTTTGACATGCATGAAAGGCAACTAATTGCTAGTCATATGCTCACCCTTAAAAAACAATAAATTATAAAAAAAAAGTGAAAGTAATAAAATAAAAACTTAATTATCCATACTCGTTTATAAATCGTGTCCTTTGTTCTCATTTATAAATTTTCATATGTAAATATCACGAATTGAAATTGAAATTTAGGATCAAAGAAAGGTTATTACAGATTTTGTGTGTTTAATTGCATGGGTGGTTAAGGTTTGTATAATTAGTACAACGATCAAGTCTTTTTTAATATATAATATGGATTTAAATAAATGTTTTAGGAAAATCCAACCAATCACCGAATGATTAAAGCACACCGTTAACGAGTTAGTGGTGTGAGAATTTAATTTTATTTGCTTAGAAAATATGGGTTTAAAAAGGATGAAATTTAAAATAATTAGTTATATTTTAAAATATAAATTTTAATTTTAACTACTTAGCTATTAATTTTTAAACATTTTTTTTAATTTATGTCTGATAATATGTTTTTTAATCTTGTTTAGTTGTTTCTTGTATTTCTTTTATGATATAATTTGATAATTATGAAGTGAATGTATTTAGACCAATTTCAATTGACGAAATTTTGATTTTGAATAAATTTTCCTTTAGTTTTATTTTTTTATTTTTTTTTCCTTTTAGTTTATTTATCAATATTTTAGGGTTTCATATGTTTAATCGAGTGACAACATTATTGTCTTACTTGTTTTAACTTTTTATTATTGTTGTTGTTAATGTTTTGATTGATTACGTTACTAGTTTAGGATATTTTGAGGTTTGAGACAATTCTCGTTATTCTTCCAATTTTAAATTTTGTAGTGCGAATCAAGCAATTGTTATGTAAGGAAAAGTTGAAATAAGATAAATAGTTTTGAAGAGTTTAGTGTAATTTGACTTTGCATGTTGAATATTTGATGACTAACTATTGAGATTCAGCTTGAATTTCTTTTAATGTTTTAATAAATTTGAGCGGTGATAAACCATAACTTATTTTATAGATGAGTATGTGATTTATAATCTAAAAAACACCTTTTTAATAAAGTTAATAAAATTGTTAGTTATTTTTAAGCAGAGTTCAATAGATCTTTGATGTTTTCTATAAAGTGTTTTTAACAATAAAATATAATCATGGATATGTTTCTATTATAAAGCAATAGTTTTATAAGTATATTATGTGCAAATATTTTATCTAAGAGACATTGTAGCACATGGTAGTCCTTTGTCTTTTATGATAATCAATATTATAACCACACAATATGCCCACACACTTAAATTAACATTTTTTTTCCAAAAATCCTTATATGATTATTTTGTTTTAGACATCATATTTCTATCTTCACGACCATCAAGAATATATTCTTAAAATTCATGTTTTTATGTGACTTGAAGAATATCCTAAAGCCACTGTATGTCAACAAGATCTTTGACACACATTATGTCAAGTCTAGAAAGACTGCATTATGTATATAGTTCTTTGCTTTACTCTAATTTGGATAAAAAATCTATAACATAGTTAGTTATCATAATGTTGCTTAGAAAAAGAAAATTTAAACATTTAATGTTGTATTAAATGCATTTAATTTAATGATGCATTAAACACATTTAGTGTTACATGAAATACATTTAATATTACATGCATTTATTGCAACATTTTTTCTTTCGGAACTCAAAGATAAAGATCTTACCTGAGTTGAATCTTCTCAACAAGCATAAAAAAATTACAATAACTATATTTTTAACAACTCTATATAAAGGAACATCATAAATCGAAGTCACACGGATAAGTTATCTAAAGTTTTCAAAATGTTGCTAATCTTAAAGCTTAGATATTTTAGTGTCCTAAAAATTCCATAAACATTGTTTTTATTCATTAACGAACCATAATAATTCATAGTCATTATAGTTGTTAAAAGATGTTACCTCTCTCCCTAATTAATGAAGTTATATGGTCTTTTAAATCACCTTTCTTTTTAAATCATTGTTTTAGTCATAGTTATCTTACAAAAACAACTCGAATCTTAGGATTGTTACTCTAAATAATACTTAGATTTTTTAGCTATATGTGATTATATTTCAAAAACTACTATATGTTATATAACCAATAGCGATTGCATTTAAAAAAATCCTTTCAAATTTTAGTTATGATCGAGTGTTTAAATTATACTTAAGTTGTTTAGATATGAGTTGCTATATTGTTGTATCTTTACAAAATTGGTATGCTTAGTAAAACTTGGTTAGTTATCAAAAGTTTGACATAATTTGTCTTTGCAAACAAATCAATATAAGAATATATAACATAAGTTATTGTCTCCTTATGCTTGTTTATATTGCATGTCATTAAATATGAATTAACAAAAGAAAGTGAACATTTACAGACTAAGTTTTTGAAAATAATTAAAAGATCATCTATCAATTTGAGAACACCACGAGACACAATTTTGTGAAAATTGCCAAAAAAGTTTTAATACACAATTGAACATCTCTTTATTGAGTACGTGACATGCTTTTCACATCTATGAGAAGTTTTTATGCCTTATTTGTTATACTTATTAGCTTTACATTACAGTAAATGTCATGTTAGCTACACGAGTAACACTCAAACAATAATATTTATTACACATAAATAACATTGTTATCCAAGCATAAATTTGACACTTAAAGTGCCAAAGTTGATCACTTAATTTACGACCTAAACAAATATAAATATGTTACATCTCTATTTAAGAACTTTCATTGCTCGAGCGACGATGAGTCAATAACATGCAATAGATTTGGTAAATTAGTAGCTTAATGCAAAGTCACATTATTAAAAAAAAAACAGTTGTGACATACGATAAATGAATAATTATATTTATGCTTTAACTTTAATGCTTAGATGTTGTTATCACTTATGTTGCATCATTATTTACATCTCTAAAATAACGATTAAGTAAGTTTAATGTTACTTAATCTATACCAGATAGTAATACACCTTCATAATTTTAAGTGACATTCTCTTAGTTTTTTTCGTAAGTTATAATTTAAAATTATCATTTTGTTATTTAATCATATAAGATACTTAATTACCATTTCATACTTAATTACCGTTTCACTGTTCTAACAATTATGTAGCTTGAATTATGATGGTTGAAATACAATCACATGTTGTGAATGATAAATGTTGTATAAGATGAGATACGTCCGGTTGTAGTAACCTACAAAGTATCAATAACAATACATAAATATTTTTTAATAAACTTATAACTATAAATGTTGAGGTATTTGAAGTTGAACCATACATAACATAATTTAATTTATCCGTATTCCCAACTATATTTTCATATAAAATAAGTAATATTTGAATAAAAATAAATGATAGTATAAATAATATATTTATATTTTGTATACAATTATATTCGTAATTTTCGCCAGCGCCGTATATTTCATGTAAATATGCTCGACGTCTTAACCTACAGCCCCACCAATATCCAACTCGGTCCGGTCATGTATCCGGTTTCCGGTTCAAACCGGTGAACCGAATTGGTTTTATAATTATAATTCAAACTACATCAGTCACATATTTGATTATTTTTTATTTTAATCCTATTCATTTCTAACTACCCTGTTCGTTAACATTTTATATGACAAACAACAATTTTACAATTCTATATCCATTTCCAAAAATGTCACGATTAATTAGAAAGTTTACAAAAATAAAATAATGAATTTAAAAAACAAAATATTTTTATGCAAATATCCTAAAATGCACTGAATTCTATACTTAAAAAAAATTAGTATTAATAAAAAAAAGGTAACTAAAACAAATATATGTTTATATACAAAAACTTATATGCATCATGATACTTTGATTTTCTTTAGTAAAATAAAAAATATTTTCAATTTATGCGTTCATAATTAAAAATTATAAGCACTGCCTACAAATACAATTGATTAATATTTTAGACGATAAAAGTATTTTCAGTGTTTGAATCCTGAATCTTGATAATTTGACTCTTTTCAAGCATTTTGCATGAGTTAGTGTATTTTTGACTATGCATATCTTCTCCATGTCCCTAAAGCTTAAATGTTATGAAGCATGTTAGAGAATTTGTGGTTGAAAGTTACATGCAGGAAGAGGCAATAAATGATGCAATTCCCCTGCTGCACGATAAGAGAATGGGAAGAGAAATGTTGTGTACTGTTTGACTGCAAGAACTGCTGCTTCGGTTCCACTCATTAATTTATTACTTAGCTACAAAAGAAGAGACTCCAACGAATTTCAAGAATTTTTTTCATTTCCTAAGT